CCCTGTACAGAGTTAAAATTGAAAGAGATGTTACATTAATTCTATGTCAAAATGAATGGGAACTATGAGAACCATAGCAACTCTATAAATAACTTATCACATGGTTCTCAGCTGCTATCAAATCTTAAAAATTATTTTCTTATGTTTACTGTCAGTATAACTACCAATATGGCAAATACCTAATGTTAATCTCAGCAGTCACTCAGTAAATTCAGGATACCAACAAACTAACTTTCATCACAGATATCAGATCTCTTCCACACAAAACCAGTAATAAGAATGAGGGTGCAGCAGATTTTGTATAATATTTCTTTGGGCTGATACATGTACAAGTGTATAAAAACAAGAACATGCAAACATGCTGCAGGTAGAATAAAGCGTGATCCATTTCTGCTAACACATTTACTCTGTTGGAAAATGCATTCAGCATTTCAGGTCATATGATAAAGAAGGTGACAGCTTTCACTGCTGTTTGACTAAGGGAACCAAGTACTTAATTCCATAATGGTCCTTTAGATGCTAATGGTCGCTAATCAAGAAATTACCCATGTTTCACAGAACCCAAACATTCACTACCATGCTTGCAATAGCATGTCACTACATCTTATCCTGAGCCAGATGAATCCAATTCATATTCCAATGCCTTAGCTCTACAAGAGCCAGTATAATATCACCCTCTCATCCATATCTAGGTCACTCAAAAGGTTTCTTCCCTTCAGAATTTCCAACAAAAATTTTATACATATTTATAATCTCTCCAAAGCAAGCATCATACACATTTCATCTTGCTTTGTTTGTTAATGTTAATTATAACTGGTGAAGAGAACAAATCATGAAGCTCATCATTAACGTAGTTTTCTCCAGCCTCACACTACCTCCTCCAAAACACTCTCAGTCTATAATATATTCTAACCTTAAGATGGGAAACTAAGTTCATACCCTCTCAAAATAAGAGTTAAAACTATCATTTTTTTTTTTGCACTTTAATTCTTACATTTCTGACAAGAAGATAGAACATTCTGTACTATTGATGCACTGATATTAAGTGCTAATTTAGCAATTAGAGAATGTTAAATTTCAGTTACTACTGAAAATATTACATTATTCAAACCATTCCCTGCCCATGAACTGATTGACCTGACATTCTCTGAGTCTGGTTGGCTACCACATGCAATATATATTCATATGTCGTTAAATTTTTATGAAACAGCCTGGCAAGCATTTTGTAAACCATCGGAACGCCAAAAGGAATGCATATTTCATTATGACTGTTATTGTTGGTACAGGTTAGTACTGTCATTGCCATCATCAAAAATAACTGCTAAGTGATGTGAAGATGGATGACACAGTATAGTGAAAAGCATCAACAAGGCAACTTAAAATGGCCAAGAGTACTGTGATTAAATGGGGCATGAAAACTGTTGCATATTGCATTGAAAGTGGTAGCCATTGCAAGTAAGTATTTCATCTGTAGCACACAGACAGCTGCTGATCAAGAGGTAACATCAGATAACAGTAAAGAAATGAGCTGGATTTAATGAATTAGTACTTCAGAGAGATAACTGCAATCATAGCATTCCCCCTTTAAAATGTGTCCATATCATAAAATCCCATCATGTGAATCCTATTTTTTTTTTCAGTGACTCCCATGTTATAAATGGAGATACATCCCTATGGAAATAATTTTGGTCTATAGCTGTAGTAAAAACACAATGTTTTCCCAATCAGAAAAAATAGTAGGTACATTTTCCATCCAGAACACTGCTTTCACATGAAGCTGCTGGAATTTTTCTTGGCATCTTAAATAAGAAAAATACACTGCAAAATCTAAGATAGGATTCAAAGAGTAATTCTGATACTAGCCATCCCACATTTCACTCACTCATTTCTGCAGACTAGCAAATGACCAGCTACAATACCCCACTGTCACCAACACATGCACATATGTAATCTGAACTTCTTAAAAGCAATTAGTTCTTTAAAAACTACTTCTTGCTGAATTTGATGTTGGTTTGCATTTTGAGTAAAAAATATATCCCAAATTTCCATAAGAGTCAAATTCATATTCGTGTGGGTGCAATGTATCAATTTCCAATATTTGTATCTGCACTGAAGTTCTAATGAACACAACAGGGGAAATGTGTTAACATTTTGGATAACTGCATGCTATGGTGGGAATGATACATGTTTACACTACAGACTCTGCACCATGGTACACAGGATTGGCAGACCACATTCTTCAAACATGTTAAAATTCAGCAAAAGGAAAACCAAATAACATTTAATTGTGAGGTTTCAGGTTCTCAAAGTGGTATTAACATTATAATCTTCCAGGGTCTTTCCAGGTAGTGTTTCTCATTGGTTCACTCATAGCACTGGTCCCAACCATCCCTTCCCTATATTATGTACAAAGTTTCCTGTTTTGCTCATTTATTCTACCCTGAATAGGGAGGCAGTAGGTTCCTATATGCTGGTAACTATCTACCAAACTACAGGGAGTCACATGCCAGATGATCATAGTCTCATCCTATTATCTAAATGTTTTCATGCCAAGTTTTTTCATTTTCAGTCATCAGTATCACCTGCATGGATTGGGCCTTTTGGTCCATTCAAAATCCAAGGTTTCAGTTCCAACCACTGTTTTTTATGTGTATATTTACATGATAATATATGAATTTTTCAGTCATAAGATAGCACAAACAGCACATGATATCGACAAACATGAAAGATATCAGAGCAGGTTGGTGTTAGAAATGAGATATCTTATTTGCAGTATAGAAACAGTAAAATGAAAACATGAATGATCACAAATGCTTACAAGGAAACAATACTGTTATATGAATAGGGCATATTTCTTCTACATATAAACTGATGGACAGGTTAGGTAATAGTATTAAATATCTAAAGAAAATGGAAATGGAATCTATCATGTACACTACACATTATCTAAAACTGCTAATCTTTATATATCTTCTTTCAAATTTATCTTTCTCAAAATCATGTCAGTAGAGGAAAATGCATACGAATATTTTGCCAACAGCTTCACAAAGGATCAGAAATATCAGCCGAGACATGCTTAATTATTGTTCTGTCTCAACAGAAAACCTCTTGCATCCAGATATACAGCTAGTAGCCACATTGGAAAGCCCAAAAACATCCTGTAGTGGTGAACGTTTAACCTTTTACAGGTCGTCTTGGTCCCATGGTCACTTATATGGGTACCAAGCCATGTAACATGCCATTTAGAAAAGAATGCGAGGAGGTCTTAAATACAATGTTAAATAGATATTAACCCAAATCTACAGATTATAATGTCCGTTGTCACACTTATTGTATGAACACACTGATTACAGAGAGTATTACAGGATCAAGATTCAGTTAATTTGAAGTGTAGCAAAGGGATAAAAAATGAACAGGAAAATGTATTGCAACTTCCCATTCTGTATGATAGTGTGTACTATAGTACAGTAAAACCTCACTAATTCTGAATTTGCAATAATTTGGACAACTGTTTCTTTTGTGTGTCTGTGCATTACGAGGAGGATGAGGTGGGCAGGTCATGTAGCATGAATGGGGAAGACCAGGAATGCGTATAGGATATTGGTAGGAAAGCCAGAAGGAAAGAGACCACATGGAAGACCAAGACGTAGGTGGGTGGACAATATTAGAATGGATCTTAGAGAGATAGGATGGGATGGTATAGATTGGATAGATCTGGCTCAGGATAGGGACCAGTGGAGGGCTCTTGTGAACACAGTGATGAACCTTTGGGTTCCATAAAATGCTGGGGAATTCTTGAGTAGCTGAAGAATTGGCAACTCCTCCAGAAGGGCTCAGCTCCATGAGTGAGTGAGTAAGTAAGTAAGTAAGTAGTGTGCATTACGAAGATTTTCGTGGAGCAGTTGTGGCTGACCTGAGTAGAGTTCCTGATTGGCTTAATAAGGATGATGAGGCCTTCAGATACCAAACTCTCACCAAAGAAAAAATTGCACAAGCTGAAGAGAACGATTCAAATGAAGAGATGAGAAGAAAATAGAATCGACTTGAAAGAATTCTGACAATGGTGTATGCTGCACAGAACTATAAGGTTTATTTTGGACTCTATCCATCGTCTGGTATATATAACACAACTGAGACTGATTGAGACTAGCTCTTTCTAACGGGCCCAACTGAGTAGGTCTATCTTGCTCCATACACCTGAGGATGGATAGATCCAGTCTCCAAAACGTGTGGTTTTTTGTCTTATATATACCAGACGATGGATAGAGTCCAAAATAAACCTTACTGTTCTGTAAAGAAAAAAGAAACGTGTATAAAGTTCAGATTTTTCGGACGCCATCATCAATTTTGTAGGCTCTAACCCATAATACAACAAATTTTACCTAATGCTGAGGAAAGTGAAGCACGATGTAGTAAAAGAACAGCATAAAACATGAACACAAACCAAAATAAGTTCATTTTTGAACATGGTCTCCATAATACTAAGTATGTAGGCTACCTAAAATGTTTTTAAAACTGATGTCAGAACTTACACTTTCACATTTTATGACAAGTAACTTTATTTTATGAAATGCAATCTAAGTTTCAAAATAGTTGTATTGCCTAAAAAAAATATGTGAAGTCCATTTTATAAGTTCCCTGAACATATTTTCAGTAGCACTTCCTTATTACAGACTTTCCCTGATTTGGACAAGGGTTTGCTACAAATTAGTCCTGAATTAGTGAGGTCTCACTGTATTCATTTTCCACTACACAATGATTATTAACTATACAGATGTTAAAATTATTTGGTGAACAGTGGCATGTTTCAACAATTGACCTAATCCTTCCAGCAAAACTATAGCCCTGTGGTCGACTCAGCCTCTAACAGAAATGAGTACCAGGAATATTCCTGCAATATTCTTGGGAGTAAAGGGTGGCCGGCATGTAAGGCTGACAACCTTGCCCCCATCTATGAGCTGATTGTCTCAACATCTCACAACCCTGTGGGCCGCCACAGCCTGTCACAGGGATACCTTTACTTTTGTTTTTTGTATAATTAATAATTCTTCTGTAAACAGAAAAGAAATACTATGTTACAAGAGACAGGAAATAGATACGCACCTTGCTGAACCAAACGTCCATCCCCACATACCATGGTAACAAGCCAGTATTGCAAACACTGGGGAAAAATATGAAATTTCAAGCCACCTGCATCTCTTGTGTGACCAAACAATATATACACAACAAATGATAACTAATGACTAGGAAAACAAAATCCATCCAGAAAAAGTAAATCTAAAAATTACACAGTTACTAATTTACATAGTCACATGTCAAAATGTATACAGTAAACTCTGTATTCACATCATTCTTCATATATTATGTAAAAATGAGGTCATAATTTAATCACTAAAATATTTTGTTATTTCTATAAAAGGATGGCAGTAGAAATAAATAAACTATTTAAAAAATAGAAAATGTAATGATGAAACAAATTATTTATACAATTATTTTCATGGTATGCTTTGTACTTGTGACAATAATTATTGTAAATGCTGCATAATCATTACCGTATTTTGTGCAGTATTGAGCTCCGTCACTTATTCTTACATTAAAGTGGTTAACGTGACATACTAATACTTATTAGAAACCTAAGTCCAAACTATTACTATTGCCAGTCTGATCAGGGCGAGAAAACTCGAAGGCTTCTCAGCAAAGTGGCGAGAACACTAGCAAGACCCTCGGCTCTCTGGAGCAGCACGCCTTCCTGTACATCCAAGTCCAATGCACAGGCAAGTGTCTCCCTGAATACACAGGCAACATCCCGTACTTTGAGCACCAAGTTGCGCGTCTGGAGTGGCGCTGTTGTATGAGCCGTCATGTCAGCAGCAAGGTCTGTTAACCTGTGAAGGAGCTGGAGGCAACTAGCAAGGTTGCTAGACAACTCTTGCCTTGTAGCAGTGTCCGTTGCACTCTTCACAAGCATCTTGGAAGCAGTGACTAGTTGTCGTGCTTCATTTGTCAGGGCTTCCTTTGCCACCTGGAAACAAGTTTCATCCATTTGTGCACCTCCTCCAGCTGCCTGAGCTCTAGAACACTGTGCCACGACCTGGTCAAGGCGCTCCAGGAGACCCACCATGGTTGCATCTGACCTGGAACACAGCATCTCTCTACCATGCTGTGATGTTGATGAGCTGTCAGAAAATATGTGACCATTCCTCAACAATGTGTTGCTAGACCCTGATTTACTGGGACTGTTTCCATCAACTAACCCTTTCAGACTTGGACTGTGCTGAGCACTCCTCCTAAAAACATCCTGAAAAAAATAATCAAAATTGAATATATATGGAAACACTTTCACAAATCTAATGTTTCTTGTTTATTACAAATATTGTTTTTGGACATTATCCATCGTCTTATCTTTATCTAAAAACCGTCCTGTTTTTTTTTTTTCGAAACACAACGATTCAGAGACTGGATTCTGTTTCCGTCTTCAGGTAAAACCTACTCAGTTGAGCCTGATTGATAGAGCTAGCCCCTATCTCCAGATATAGATTTTATCTGAAGAGGGAGACAGAATCCAGCCTCTGAAACACTGTGTTCTAAAAACTAAATAGGACATAAAGACAAGATGATGGATAATGTCCAGAAACATAATATTCATACTAATGTACCATTGCCACAAACTTTTAGATCCAACACGGTGTGTCCAAAATCTGTTAGGACTCATTTTTTTTTTCCCCCCCCCTGCAATACCATCTGTTGGCGAGTTGTGGTGTAAAAGATTCTTGAAGTTTCAGATGTGGCTGTCTATAATTTCAAAGCGCAAGCATCACTGCATCATGCGTTCTGACCTTGAATGTAACAGTACTGTTCTGACGCTTGTCGGAAAATGGCGGTTGAACAGAGAGCCAATATCAAATTTTGTTTGAAGATAGGCAAAACAGCTGGAGAATGGTGAAAAGTGTGTACAGTAATGATTGAGTCGCTCGAACATATTTTGATGGTATGCTGTATTTCGTGATGGCAGGGAGGACACTGAAGACGCTACACGTGCATCAAAGCCGAGAACAAGTCGCACTGAAGAAAATGTGAAAAATATGACCGAAATCCTTGCATCAGACAGATGTGTTTCTGCAAGACTCATCAAGGAGCTCTTGGGAATACCAAAAATTACTATGCATCAAATTTCAACCGAAGAAGGTCTGTGCACGGTTTGTACCGCATGCACTATCAGGCAATGAAAAACATGCCAGAGTGGAACGGAACACTGCAAATACATGTTACGGTCGGCCCAAAGAGATACAAAATTTACAAAATCGATTGTTACTGGTGGCAAGACATGGTGTTTTCAATATGAGCCTCTCACAAAGCGGCAGACTGCAGCGTGGTTGAGCCCAAAGAAAGTGCACATGCAAAAGAGTCGAGTAAAGACACTGTTAACCGTTTTATTCAATTCCAAAGGAATCATTCACAAGGAATTTCTGCCAGAAGGTCAAACAGTGAATTTTGACTGTTATCTCAGAGTCCTCAAACGTTTGTGGGCGAGAATTCTTCGAATGCGACCTGAATATCGAGAGCAAGGTTCCTGGTCGCTCCTCGATGACAATGCCCCACCCCACAAATCAAAGATCTAGCACGATTTTTTGGCCAGAAAAGGGATCACAGTCCTTGATCATCCTCTGTATTCACCAGATTTGGCTCCAGCAGATTTCTGGTTGTTCCCAATAGTTAAGTTGGCGGTGAAAGGAGACCGTCATGACACCATCCAGGACATCCAAAGGGAATGTACTGCATTTTTAAATGTGATTCCACAAAATGAGTACAGTGACTGTTTTCAAAAACTATTCAATCAATTCCAGGAGACTATTTTGAATAAGAAGAGTGCAGTCTGGAAAATAATTCACATCTTGTATTTTTAAAGAACACAGTCCTAACAGAACATGGACACTGACGGTACCGGTTGTCGGTTGTTCATAGGTTGTTTCTACAGATCAAGGTTTGTCCAGTGATTGAGACTAGCTCTTTCTAAGGGGCCCAACTGAGTAGGTTAAACCTTCCTTATACACCTGAAGACGGAGACAGATCCAGTCTCCGAAACGTTGTGTTTTTTTGTCTTTTTTTACATACCGGACGATGGGTGAAGTCCAAAATAAGCCAAAAGAAGATGGACACACTGTGTATCTCTTGTTTATACTGTTCATATAGTAATAGCATTTAAGTATTTGATTCGTTTTTGGTTATGCTTTCTTTTATCCTATTAGTTGTTCTGGTTCAAAAATACCCCTATATATTAATTAAAATACACAGAAATTAAATATTAGATATTAAAATTAAGTACAATACTTCAAAATGATTTGCTGCTATTGTGCCAGTTCAATCTAGTTCACACTTTCATGCCTTATTACTCCAAGAATCATTTTCATTATACCTTTCATAACAACTTGTAAGAATCTCTTTACAGATAGGGTCTGTTAGTCCTACAACTAATAGTTAAACTTGAGGACCACTCCCTGTTTGCTTCCTTATCTTCAAATTCACCATATTCAAATCTGCGCTCCACATACTGACACTGTTTCTTCCATCCACAGCTTGAAGATGCACCATATCACAGTGACAAAGGGCTCATTTAATATAAACCAATAATGGTTCGTTCTTTACCTTGGAGAATAAAACTCATATATGTCACAACAAACACCTAAGATTGTCCCTCACTGTGCATGAAAGTCAGATTAAGTGGTGAGAGAAAATTATGTCCACTTTAAGGAAACTTTCTTTTGCTAAAAGGGACAATATTTTCATTGGTTCATATTGCACAATGCCAAAATTCATGCAGCATTGCAACTGTTGACATCAGTGTCAGTTCACTTTAACAAATAAGATGGTTGGAACATTCAAGAACCATGAAAATGCTTGTATTTCAAGAAAATTCAGTAGATTCAAATGTAAAGGAAGATGAGATGAACAGCATCCATGGATGAAACTGAATCATATTTCTAACAATTTCATGTCTTACATTATAATTAAAAAATATCAGTTACACTTTGTGATGTTTTGCTTCACTTAAGGTTAATTGTCTGTTCTTTTACCTGAAACGAAAAGTCTAAGTGGTCGGACAATAAAGTTCGTGAACTCATCACGGTAAAAGTGATACACAGGGAGGGTGTTCCAGCACAGTTATTTGTTTACTAGCTAAAAACTCCTTCACAGACAGTGCCATGTGAGTAGGTGCATTGTCATGGTGCAAGGTCCATGAGCTGCTGGCAAAAAGTCTTGGTAGTTTCCATGTAACTTTTTCATGCAGCCTTTTCAGTACTTCCATATAGTAAACTTGGTGTGCCCATGTCATCAAACCACACTGAGGTTTCCATCTATTTCTGCCACTGCTAAAACACAGTGGCAAGTTCGCAAACTTTATTGTCAAACCTCTTATTATCCAGCTGCAGATGAATCTTTGACCCAAAAAACAAATGACATACATCTTACCTGAGATGGGACAGGCGGTAGAGGCGGTTTCTTCTGTGACAACCAAGAATGAGAGTGAATAGAGTCACTTCTTGGTGGCAGTAATGGAGGTGGTGAATCCTGGTGACCCCCAGATGAAGAATTGCTCTGATGATGTACAGATGCAGCTTGGAGGTGTTCAGCGCACTTTGGTGGTCGTGCAGGTGGTTTCAAACTTTCTGAACCATTTCTAGGTGGTGGCTGAATTTCCTCTGCTGAACTCTTCTCAGGACTGTCCCGGTATTTTCCACAGCATGAAAATGTTCCACCTTTCCTATTTACAGTTGGGTATTCAATGACTCTAGACGAACATTGGGTGTTACTAGTTTTCTTGTCATGGTTTTCCACAGTGTTCCCATGCATATTATCCAGTTCGCCCTAAAATGGATTATATATTAAGTATAAAACAAATAATTTCACTCCTCTACATCAAGTTTTGCCACGAACCACTGGCTGGATGGGTTCACGTATTAAATAAAGAATACTATAAATACCAAGAAATAATTCTGTATCCATAAACTCTACAAACCACACAGTTGAGAAAACTTCATTCTTATACAAAAAGAATGAATTAATCATAATTTAAATTCTTTATCTACAACTACAACAATGGGTAATTATTTCAACTCACAGAAATTAGAATACGAAATGCTACACAGCCTGAAAACAATTAAAATAGTAGAAAACAGAATGACCAAAATATACATGAATGCAACTACTTCTGTGCTAAAAACAACCTTCATTTAAATTTTCATTCTGAAAATTTGATGGGTACGGGAGTCACAATTATTATTTACTTCATTCTATACTGTTTATATTTAAGACTCCCTTCTGCTTTTCCTTCACCTCACAGTCTGGCTGGCTGGTTTGGTAGCGGAACAAGTCACCAGTGAAGTCAACTTACTGTGTCCCAGAACATAATATTTAAATTGTTCATGCACCACTTTTATGCTTACATGTTTTCATTGACTGTTGGTACTGGAGCCCTGAACATGCATTGGGCCAATTCCTTTCCCTCTCTTAATGATTCCAAAGAGTATGGTGGTAATACAAGCGTGAGATTCGCAGACCTCACAGTGGTGACTACAAAGAATACCGTTACTCAGCAAGTTGCCTCAATCAGTAATGCTTCTGGCTTGAATTCAAGTGGTGCTCAGTTTGAATCTTAGCCTGAATATCAACCATCCTGAACGAAATTTCCAGTGGGTTTCCTCAGTCCCGCCAGGAAAATACCAGGATAAGACTCTGATTAGGTCACAACCACTTCCTTCCTAATCCCTTATAATTCATTATTTACCAGTAATCCTACTATTCAGTACTATACAATATGAGTTAGTGACAGCATCATCAAATAAATTACAAACTACAAAGAACTGCTTCCATCTTCAGGGTTTAAGATGGAGGCAGTACATCACTCAAAAAAAGGTGACAAACTCCCACCAGATGACAAAGCATCACATCAGAGGTGATAGTGCTCTTAGTGATACAAATGTTCACATCTGAGTGGGAAATGTTTAAAACTCACAGTCATCATCATTAGAAGACAAGCAAATAAAGGAAATCATTATTAGCCCTGTGTGTTACACGTCATATGGCTGTGTTCAACATTACTTACAGAGCTGACAAGAGTCAGCAGTGTTACATTCTGTGCACTGTGTAGATTAACCTGTCAGCGGTTTGGATGTAGTACCTATTCAAGATACAAGCATAAGTGTCCCTTCTATAGGATTTCTATTGAACTGTATGAACCAATATTTTATAAAGGGTTCTGCGGATGGTGTATAACACTCAGAATTAGTGAGTTTTAGAATACCGGATGATGGACAAGTGCTGAAAACCCAGTAATTCTGAGTATATGAACAAGCTTTCAGGTATAAATAAAAAAATATTTGAATAACTCAATTTTTTACACTAGTGGCAATTACAGTGGAAACAATACAAAATTTTCTTTGGTGAACACACACAGAGAGTTGATAGCAATCTTCTTGAATACTCTGTTGTTAATTCTATAAAATTTGTAGTGTACAGGAGTGAAAATTCTGTAAAATACTACAATAGTCAGAAAGTAAAATATGCTGTAAGCTTACATTTATAGCATCACTGCCACTAGCCGGAGGAGGTGGAATGATAAATGAAGAAATCTCCTCTGGCGTTAGCTCTACAGATGGTGGGGCTCGCTCAGTGGGTGGTGGGACAGTTACTGTTGCTAAAAATGCTTCAAAATCGAGATTCAGATCCAAACCTGGTATCACCAATGAACTGGGTTCATCACCAGTTGGAGTCTTGTTCAATTCCAAACCAAGCAATTCATCTGAAACATAGAAACACATCAATGTCACTGATAATTATAATGATCAATTATGTTCTTAAATTATACTCCACTGTTAATATCAGCTGTTGAATCTCTTCCTCCACAAACTCTGATATTCATGACAGTTATTGGATATAACCTAAGGAACCCATTCATACAAAACTTTCATTGCTATCACATTACATGTAACTTGGTGTCCTACCACAAGTACAACATCAAATCTCAGATTTCACCATGTTGTTTACTGTTAACAACATTAAATAAATTTTAAAAATATTAAATATGAAATTGAAAGTATATGAGTATGAAATTTAGAGCAAAATTTAAGTTTACAAAAGATAAGGCATAGAATTTTGCATACTGAATACCAAAGAGCTCTGTGATTTATGTAGTTCACCTAGCATTATTATGGCAGCCAACTCAAGATGGACTGACAAGTAGTTTAAGTGGAAGAAACAAAAGATGAAAGAACACAAACTGCAGTTCATTCCTTTTCCATGTATCCATGTACAGGTACAACCCAGGATATGGAAATAGTGTGGAAACCTCTGGAAAGTACATGCTTGGAAGAATATATGAGTGATAAGAGGATAATTTAAACAGAACTTAGAGAATTTGTTGTGACAAAGAAAAAAGTGGACTGAAGTGGCCAAGGATTTGAGCCACTGGAGAACTCTGGTATTAGCATTTGTAAACCTTCAGATTCTGCTACCACGGGGTTGGTTAGTAGTTACTTATGAGACTTTGTTTACAATTACTATTTACCTAGCAGTGGGTCTTGCTCAAGGTCCAGCATGCAACAACTGCTGATGACATTCCTATGATTGATCAGCTGTTCTGTTGTAACCTGCAACTCTGTCTCCAATGGTGAATGGTCAGCAAAGGGAGTTGGAGGAAGACTCAGATGTGGAGGCAAGGCATACAGACCATCCTATGGTAATAGGAAACAAACAAGTCCTGAGACATGCAAGTTCTGGTAACAAGATAAATTCACATAAAAAGTGACATTTTTAGTTAAATTTTCATTACTTACATAAATCCCTATTGTCCAGAGAAACAGGCCATTTTAAATTATCTATACGGTTTGTTTAGGAATTACACTCCACTATTATCTTGGGGACTGAAGAGTTCCAGATGGCAAACCTTCATTGCAAATTCAACTTAATTTCTTCAGAGCAGCAGAAACACAGCTCTTGCAAAGAATCTACTAAGAAGTGGTATATAAGTTACCTTTTTAAAGACATTTCAGCAAATACTTTATTTGCAAAAATAATCGTTTATTAAAATTGTTTAAATTGTTTATAAACCAACAATCATGAACAGAGATACAATAAAGTCTACCTACATGCTTTTTAAAGGGACATCTGCTGGAGAGTTACCAAAGATAATTTTATGATATGTGAAAAAAAAAACATATTTTTGAAAATTAACCTTTTCAGTACTGGAGAAGTAAAATGTATCAGACATAGGCTGTGTGTTAAGAATGATTCATCTATCAGCATTTGAACATTAAATCAATATTTCATCCTTGAACATAAGTATGTTGTTTATTTTTCCTTTGAAACTCAGTCTGTATCTAAGGCAATCATTTCTTACATTGAGATATCCCCATTCCTTCTTCCTTTTGTCTTCCTCTCTTCCTTCCGAGCCTCTCAGAACATAAACATCTATGTTCAAGAAACAGTTCAATCCATGACAATGTCTCTGAAGCAAGCACAACATTCATCAGAATATGATCATGGACTTATATCTTGTTAACACTATTTCATAAAGGACAAACTTCAACTATGTCCTTGTATGGTGTACAAGGATGTTCTTTGTTACCTCACTCAATGTGCTATGAAAACCTGAACCCATTTCCAATACAGACTGTGGCCACTTCTCCACGGATGCTCACCTCATCTGGTGTGATTGGTGGTGGGATCAATGTAAGATCAATTATATCTGGGTCCAAGTACAGAGTCCCTTCTGCAAAATCATATGGAAGTGAACTGTCCTCTTGCAACTTCTTCAGCAGGTCCTGCAACATAAGTGTGTTTGAAACTTGATTAAACATTATGTATCAACTGCAGGAGTCAAGATACGAGGACAATCATGAATGGCAAGTCTTCAGGAATTTGAAGTCTGTTTGTGGTCACGATCTGCTGTAGTTCCTGCGGCGAACTATGCAAAACCATGAAAGCTTCATTCAGGATAGTCTTCAGCAGTGACTGAAGCCCAGTAATTCCTAAATGCAAGACAAGCGCCTTCCTGCTTAGCTAAATCTGCTAAGTATTTATATACCGTTGCAGGAGCCGAGTGTTATGGAACTGCAAAGCCTGGTCTCCATCGTCTCTTATACTGTCTGAAATGTTCATAAAATTGATCAGATGAAGAGGAAGACCAAGGTCATCCATTAACATTTTAAAGCCTTCCCAACATGTGATGTGCCTGTGAAAGGTGGTAGGTGGCAGAGATAGTGAAGTGTTTTTCATGAACTATCTTCATTGGCTGCATCCTGTTGTGTGTTCCACACATATATAGGAATTAGGTTAACCATCAACACAACAAATATACTCATTTTTAATGTTTTACAATTCGACTTTTTATTCCTGTTACATGTTTCAGTTGTACAAGACCATCATCAAGCAGTTATATATAGGATCCATATCGGTAGTTCAATAACTATACGTATTCCTATATATAACTGTCTGATGATGATATTGTATGACCGAAACATGTAACAGGAATAAAAAGTCGAATTGTAAAACATTAAAAGAGAGTATATTTGTTGTGCTGACTGTTAACCTAATTCCTATATAAGTGTTTTTCAGTTTTCAGTTTAATCCACTGCAGTGTGGTGCAATGCAGTGCAGTTGAGTGAAGTACAATGACCACTGGTGTTTCTGGGAAGTAACAAATCAACATACAACGGATCTCAAGAGCATAAGTGGGTATGGACATCTGGACAGGAATTGCTCTACATACTGGCAATTGTTATAAAAAACAGTTTTAAAATTAAAACAGTGTCATAAATTGCCTTCAAAATTACTGGCTGACTCATGAAGAACATGTTATAATCAACAACATGCAACTATTTTCACGTAGTTACACATTCTTCCAGAAAACAGCCATAGTGAACCTTATTCAGTGAAGCTAATCTTACTGACTCATACTGCATTTGAACAAAAGCTTCCCCATAACAAATATTTTAATCAAACGGCTCACTACAAATCTAATGTATAACTTCACCTGTAACTGTATCAGTGAAGCTAAAAATAATTTTCTTCTATATTGTTGCCTTCATTTCCAGCACTAGACCTAATTAATCAGTTGTGGGTACCACGTATTAAAAACGACAGTCTTTCCTTTTTTTTTTCTACAAATTTCATTCCTCTGGGCTGATATTAAAAACTTTTTAAGAGGAAGTATTACATAGAATCACTCAACATGTTTTCTCCTATTTATTTTACAGTATTATACAAAATTTGTTATTCTGTCATTTCAATAATTTATTTTAATATTTAATAAGTGCCATCCATACTTGATAAACAGAAACCATTTCCCAGCAGAAGAGATAAAGATCAAGAACCCAAAGTAGCGTACCTTACTATCCATCACACAGAACACATTTCTGCTCATCTTCCATCTCCTTTCTTAGTTCCTCTTAAGGACTTACTACAGTAACGGAACATGAAGGCCAATATCAAAATATACCATGGAATATGATAGGTCAGTTTAATGCAATTCACATTCTCACACACTACGGTGAACCCCCCATTTCAGGCTTTTCTGAGGGATAGTGAATTTGAGCACTAAATTGGAAAAAGAGAGAATTTATCACCAACATTATCACCTTGGAATCACTGACATAAGACATTAAATAAGAGAAAACCTTAATCTGACCAGCATTAAATAGGGGTTCCACTGTATTTCCTTTATGATTCATTCTCATATTATCCTCCCATTTCTTGTTTCAGCTTCCAAGTGATCACTTTGCAATACATTTCCTCATCACAATTCTTTCTGCATTTCTACTCATATACCATAACATCCTCGACCTTAGTCCCAATAGCAGTATGTGCACTATGAAGACTACGACGAAGCTTTCTACATTATGATCATGGTCTTCTATGACTTGTACTTTTCCACCTTCCCAATCTCCCAATGTATGGGATGTGTACCTGGATATTACGATCACTGGGACGGAACCCAACTGGCAGCAGGCTGTCAGGACTGTGCAGTCCGAAGCTGGAACCACTGGCATTCAGGACTGAACTGCTACTGTGTTCTTTACCTATAACAGCCAGTACAAATTGATGGACAGTGTTTCTCAAGTGTGATCATTAGATGTGTTTATCCATATAAAAATATCAAAAGTAACAAGGTATTATCAACTTTCATTTTTTATGTAAAAGGTAAAGTTGTCCCTCTGCTCAACTAATTAAGCAACTATAACACGAAGACGAATGGAGAAGTGGATGTATAGATCCATGTGTTCTAGACATCGGCAATAGTTGGAGATGAGTGGTCAATTTCACGCCCAGGCCACTTTACCTCCAAAACCCACTGGACAGGAGGCTCGGTGGGCCCCATAATCAGTCTGAATGATGTGGAGGGGAGAAGAATCTTACTCCTGCCAGGACTTGAACTCCGACCCCTCAGCCATCCAGTCCATAACCAGTCACTATACTGACTGCACTAGTAGAGTTTCCTTTTAAGTCAGTTATATAACTACTCTGTCAATATTGAGGCTGTACAGTTTCAACGACAGGGCAATTAATGAACATGAAACAGCTGGTAGAATCACAATCTGTCAGCTGTTACCTGACCAGATGTTTTTAGAATGTATGACATATTTATGTACGCAGAGGGGAAAAGGGTGTAAGTACCATTCAAAATAACATGTTGTATCCTCTCCTTAATATCAATCTAACATGCATTACCTGCCATTGGTCGGTGAGATGGACTATTTGTAGGAGTGCTCAAGGAATCTGTGTCACTCTCAGAGGGCTCATTATCGCCAAGATCTATGCCCCGGACAACATCATTAACAGCTTCACTTATCAGCTTTTGTCCCTGCAAGTATAAATAAAAATATACACAGTGGTCCATATGTATGGACAGTGTAAGATCCACTACATATAAGCAGTACAACGTTCACTTCAAGTAGGCTGCTAGCTTGGTTTGGGATGGAATGACTTTTCACCTGGTCCTGTACTTTCACTTGTCCCTTTGCTTGGGAAAAGTGTCATCAAACTAATACTCACATATGCAGCAGAAGTATGAACAAACATTTCAAGAACAAGAGAACTTTGGAAGAAATTAATTTGGAAATGTTAGCCCATGGTTTCTCAGACTATGAATAATGACCTCCAGGGGGTCAAAACATTCTGTACATGAGGAAGTGACTTCTCAAGAATTATTTAAAATACAGTAGTATCCATACACAGTTCTGGTAATTCTGTAAGACTTAATACAGATGCTTTCAGTGAATATACTTGCAGCCGGCAAATGTTTCACAAATATTTTTGCAATTGTGCAGGAATATTTTATAAATAGTTTACTTTAGGTGCAAGGCAGCAGGAAAGCTATTTAGGTTCCAGCTTTCACTGAACATCCCAAGATGAACCTGCAAAAATATGCAAAACTGCACTATTCAATGACTGGCAGAGATGGAGGTGGGGGGTCACATAAATTTGCATATTATTTTTGGGGATCACACTATCACAAAATCTGAAAACCCCTGCTTTAACTCTGTATGTTCCATACATTTGGTCATAAATGTCTTAACAGGTCCAAACGTTATTTTAATTTCAAACCTATTGGGCTGAGTCTGACAGAGTATTATCTTTAATATAGCACTCTATGAGCAGATGGCTATGGTCAGTTTAAATTTTAAAATTTTAGACTGTTGGCATTACTGAATGGGTGCAAACATTTTACCAATATAATTTCTATGAACTAGGATAGAGTTCAGAGGGCCACAGACAGTCAAGGAAGGTAAGACAGTAAAATGATGATCCACATGAGAAGACACCAGATACAAAGAAGTCTCACCTGGGTAAGCAGCAGCAATGAGTCACTATGCTTGAGCTGACCGGGTGCATCTGAGTCAAGGGACGATATATGGGAGCCCTCGGAGTCACTCTCCTCCTTGCCGAGCTGCTGGTGATGCTGCTGGTGCTGTTGTTGCTGCTGTGTTAGATACTGCTCAGAGTTTTGCACCAACTCTTGCATTTCTGCAACCCTCCGCAACACCTGCAGTGTACATTGTATGCCTGTACATTCAACATGTTTTGCACTATCTTCTTTCTTTTTTTTCACTGCCTCTGCAGCCCCCTTGGGCCCTGGCCTCTGATTTTCAGCTTCATGATCATTTTACGGACAGTAGGATTCCTTGGACAAGTGATCAACTCATCATAAGGCCTCTACCTAAACACAGGGCAACACAAATACAGAATAAATGCAAACATACACACCAAACATCCATGCCTCATGTGGGATTCAAACCCACAGTTCTGGCTTCTGAGCAAACAAAGACAGTACATGTCTTAGACGCTCAGCTACCATGACCAGCATGTCTGGCACTATCCTTTTATATTTGAAACCACTGATGCATTAGATTATGACAAAATGCTGGCTACTAAACAAAAGGCAGGAACTCTGTTGAACAAATACATTTTTGTATCAGACGTGTGTAAGTGAGTAGCTGGAAAAAGGGTGCAATATGAAATACAAAAAAAAAAGTATAAAAAGACAATGTGCAGAGGATAAATAATAAAGTGTTGTGATAGAGATAAACAGGAAAAAAAATATAACCATCCCTGTAAAAGGCCCTGGAGTCTCATAGGGTTGTGAGATGTTGAGGCTCCTACATTTTCTATAGAATCAGCTCATAGATGGTAGTGAGGTTGTCAGCCTCACATGCTGGCCGCCCTTTTTGTTAGAGGCTGAGTAGACTCCAGGGCCATAGTAAAACAGTAAGGATTAGGTTACTACAAAATCCAATGACCTCATCAGGAATCAAGCCCATGACCTTCCAGCTTGTAGTACAGTGCCTCAGCCAACTACACTACCACGTAACAAAGGAAAAATAGAGATTGAAAAGCAATTGATTCACATTGCACTAAGTGCAATGTGAAGGCCAAAAACATGATGGCGAAAAGGAATCCATAAAGTGATGAAAGAGAAAAATTTGAAATATGAAGGCTAGAATAACTGACAAGAATGGAGTATATAAACAAGGCACCTAACAAACTGGAGGCAGAAAGACGATGAGGAGGAAGGGATGATGAAGACAAAACAGAGAAATGAAGAAGATAGGGGAAAAAATAGATGAAGATGGTAATTAATAAGACGAAAAAGCAGAAGAAGAAAACAAAAGATAATGATGAAGGAAAGTAAGAAGAATAAGGAAGGAAGAGAATAAAGAGTGGAGGGGAACAAGTGTTCTTCAAATCCTTCAACGCAGAAAATGAAAGTTACAGGATCAATGTTTCATGCACCTGACAATTAAGTTCATTCAGTGTTTAATACTTTAAATATTACATGTGCCTGAAAGGTACAAACCTCTTCATTCCTGGCTTCAACATATGCCAAGTCACTTTCAAGGATCTCCATTGAAACAACACTCTGAAGATCGAAAGCAGTATTGCTGAGATCCAGAAGTTTCTGGGCAACTGCTGCACGTCTGTTATCATCCAGATACCCATTGCGGTCCCTTGCTTTGGCACTCCCATTCAGCAGTCCAGACCTGCAATTAAGCACACAATAATACTGCAATTGCTGGGAAGAGATAAACGGGAAAACTGATCTCTAGTTTTTTTATTTATTTATTTACATTTATACATTCCGTTGATCCTTATGGTACAGCTGACCAGTGGATATGGATTTTGTCCCAAGCTAATAGATTAAAATACACAAAATACAAAAACTACATACATACTTTTGTCATTAAGACAGTTAAAAGATTTATATTAATGTACAATGCATAAAATGATCAAAATTATAAAACAATAATTGATACAAAATACTTAGGTAATGATATGAAATTAACATATCAGGGGTACAATTACCAATTTTAATTACATACATGGTTAAAATATTCCTCTAAGGAATAAAAAGAATTTGAAAGAAAAAATCTTTTTAGCCTCAATTTAAATAGTTTCACATCATTACTCATACTCTTGATTCTGGATGGCAGGTGGTTATAAGCCTTAATACCAAAATAATATGGTCCTTTCTGAAAGATTGTTAGGCGTGATGTGGGAAGGTGCAAATTTGTGGTACGTCTAGTATTGAGATTGTGGGTCTCATAGTTTGAACTGTATAGGGCTCTATTATTTACAACAAACAGAATTATAGAGTATATATACTGTGAGTACATTGGTAATATTTTTAGGTTTTTGAATAGTTCCCTATATGAGTCTCTAGTTCTTACATTCATAATAGTTCTAATGATCCGCTTTTGCATTCTGAAAACAGTTCCCTGGCAAGCGGAGAATTAAGGACATTTCCTAACTGCAGTCAATTTACCCCCTTAAACACCTGTGCCAAAGATGTGTCCCACTTGCCTGACTCTACTTCTGCCTCTTGTTCCTCAGTAAAACACACACAATCTATCTTCTGGGATATAGTGCTGTGTTGCCCATTAAAGTTAACTAACAACACCTTTCAGGAAAATGTCACCTCTATCTTCAGGGTTGAAAAGTATTTAAAGTATGAAGAAACCAGCATGAAGCAGGCAGCTTCAAGGCCATGGTTCCATGGATGGATGCCATACTGCGAAACTGCACCCTCTTTGGGGCTGCAGTTCCGGGGATTCTACTAGGTCAGCAGAGCTTTGCTTGCTGTCTGCTTCATGCCAGCTTGCTCTTCAACCCTGAAGACAGAGACATGATCCTCTGAGATACTGGTCTACTTTCACTGGACTACACGTGACAGCCTAGACATTAAAACTCTTCATAGCCACCGTTGTCAGAACCTCAAATCCCACATACTCTGGGACCCAGAATTTTATAAAAGCATGGCATCTGTGTTGCATCTCTGAAATAACTTCTCTGAGAGTTAATATATTAGATGAAAAGTTAATATTTTAATAACAAGTCACATTGCAAATAAAAGGTACATAACTTACATGGTGTTCATGTTGTTGTCCACACCAAAAGGAGGTCTACTGTTGGCATCCAGTGGCGCTGACTTGTTATGAGGAGTAGGGAAATGACCATTTGATTTTACCTGCAGACAAATAACATTACCATAATTTATTACACATGAAAACAGACAGTATTAACATAACTGCTTTAGGACAAATGAACGGACTGGTAGTGCCCATTGTTGTGTCTTGTGTTTCATAGTGCTTAAGCAGTGTACATTTAGCTATAGGAGCAACAAAACTGAATACATGCCACAATGTTCTCCACTTTCAGCAAATAAGACATATACAGTGTAGTTCTAAAGGTTACTGCACTCAGTAATGAAGACTAGATTTAATGGGCTCTATTCGGCCACTATTTCCTCTTCCTCGTGTTTTACAAGATGGAGAGAAATCCAGCCTCTGAAACGTTATAATGTCCATTACAGATAATGGACAATGTATAGGGAACATCCTCACACCAAGTCACACGTGATCAGTGTAACATATTATAAGATAAACGGATACCTGTCACTGTGACACTGTGACCTGCAATATACCCACAAATCAATAGAACTCACATGTATTGGCTGATATGGGGGAGGCACTGAGAATGTAGTGTAGTGCTTGCCAGCAGCTTGGCCAGTGTAGCTCCACCTGGCAGGCAAAACCTGATGCTGTGAGTGATACGGTGGTGCTGAAACATCATGATCACATAACCTGTACTCCTAATAAACTGAACATTTAACAGATTCAATACAATATACTGTTTCTTAATTGTTACATGTAACTACTATATGCTACTGCTTTCCGTCTTTAAGATGGTCAGTGACACAAGACATACTGTTTTGAACTCTGTACCAAGTTTGAATTAAGATGACCCAAAAAGAAATTTACAAAGCATTTATAAATAAAACTGTTCATACATCCCTAATTTGTGTACAAAAGATCTGATATTCCCTTTTGTCATTCTGGCTCAGCAATGTGCAAGAAACTCTATTACATAAAATCAATACAAAGTCCGTCAAGTGTAACAATGTTTTTTAGGTCACTTCTTTCTCACTCTTGCCTTACATGTTTCGGTTTTAGTAAAACCATCTTCAGAGGCACATGGTACTAACAAGAAAACACTGGCGTTGTTTAACTGTACACAGTATATATGCTGCGTGGGCACTGCTACAAATGTCAAAGTGTAAAAGCACAACAAATGGGTATCTTACACATAGTATAATGGAAGCTACACAAGGAAAATTACGAAACTATTCAAAAATACGAACGTAAGAATAGCTTTTAAAGTAAATCATACATTAGGTAAAATACTAAACCATAAACAAAGCACAAATCCCTTTGAACAAAGCGGCATATACAAATTGACTTGCCAGGAGTGCCAACAAGTGTATATAGGTCAAACAGGCAGAAAATTAGTAACACGCTATAATGAACATATAAGAAGTATAAGATTCAATAAAAATGACTCCGCCTATGCTCAACATATTTTAAATAGACAACATCAATATGGCCCAATTTCGCAAATCATGGAATTGATTGAAGTAGCAAAGAAAGGCAAATTAATGAATATTAAGGAAGAATACCAAATTTACCGCCACTACAAGGATAACAAATTAATAGATGAGCAGAAACAGGCAAAGGAGATCAATAACCAGAACAGCATGTTCGACCTTATCACTACTTGTATAAACACACCCCCGACCACGTCATAACACACAAGGCTTTAAATAACACTGGCGTAGAACTCTCACCGCAGTACACAACACACAACGCACAGGAATAATCCAACTACAAGGTAAGCAAGGATCAAATACAACACTAAACAAAATAAATTCAATATATATAAATATATAAAACCTAATGTAATACAATGTCTTTGCAGCCAATACAACCTCAAGACATCTCCCAACATCGGGATAAATTAAGAAGCAGCCTAACATTTTTATATTTTACTTCAAAAGTCTTAAACTTTTAAATATTTTTTAAATATTTTAATAGTGATGTTTTAACGCGAGGGCAACTTCGGATTGAATGCGAAGGTTGAACGTGCATTCTGTACGTGCATTCAGTACTCCAAGCTAGTGTTGTGCTTTTACACATCGACATTTGTAGCAGTGCCCACACAGCATATATACTGTGTACAGTTAAACAACGCCAGTGTTTTCTTGTTAGTACCATGTGCCTCTGAAGATGGTTTTACTAAAACCGAAACATGTAAGGCAAGAGTGAGAAAGAAGTGACCTAAAAAACATTGTTACACTTGACGGACTTTGTATTGATTTTATGTATAATAGTGTAACGGACCAAAATGAAACAATTCAAAAAACTCTATTATAGTTTCTGCTTTCATACCTCCTTACTTGTGGAGAAGAGTGTGGAAACAAAGAGGGAAATAAACTGAACAACTACTGCAATGCACCTTGAAAAAATGGGGAGCTACAGATATAAATTCTGTTGCTCACAATTATATAGTCTAAGCTAGTCATATTGTTGTTAAATAAACCAAACTACTGCTGACTGAATAGGGGCAAAAATCAATGTTTCCTTATATTTTCATAAACATACATATATACCAGGAGCCTGGATAGTGTAGTCAGTATAGCGAGTGGCTACGGACTGGACATCTGAGGAGTCTAAGTTCGAGTCCTGGTACAATCAAGAATTCCCTCTTCTCCACACTGTCCAGAGCAGCTCTGAGGTCCATCCAACCTCCTACCCCATGGGTACCAGGAACTCTTTCCCAAGGGAGTAAAGCATCCAGGGCATGAAGCTGACCACTCACCACCAGTATGTGCCGAAATCAAGAAAATGTGGGTTTATACATCCACTTCCCTACACGCCTTCATGGCTTAGTGCTTAATTAGTTAAACAAAGGGACAACTTTAACTTTACCTTAAATATATAACATATCAAATGGAAGTTACAGATCTGAATGAAGCCTATACTTCACATCAACACACAACACAATGAAGGAAGTCGTGATCTAAGGGCTGACATGGCCCACCCCTTTAGTCTACGTACATCATGCTATAATGTTTGTATTATGTGTTATTGGTTCAAAAAATGGTAAAGTTTGATATGGGCTTCATTTAGAGGTTATATGGGACTCGTAATATATCTATTACTTTTCAGTTAAACAAGTAAATTGCCACATGGATATAACTTCAGCAATGTGCGCTCGATATAAGTACTTCACAATGGAACAAACTGAAATTCTCAATCATGGTGCTAAAATAAGAAAGCTGTGAACGAAATTAAAGCAAGTAGAAGCATACCTGCATCATCTATCCAAGACAGGTCGCGGTCTTGCTCCACAGGAAGTGTCTTGCCAGTCAGAAGCCTATAGTACCCTTGCAGCACCAACACAAACTCTTCAGCATCTCGATCCTCCATGCTAAGCACCATCTCCTGAATATCACAAGATAAAAAGGACCATGACATGTGACTTAGGCTGGTACAGAGCGGCCTCCATAGTCTAGGGGTAACGTTCCCACCTCATGACTCAAGGTACGTGGGTTCAAACCCGGCAGAGGTCGTGGAATTTTTAAGGGCGGAAAAATTCAGGGAACAAGTCCTCCGGGAGGGACTTTAAGCCGTGGGTCCCATGTCGTAGATTTACGGCGCGTAAAAGATCCTCATGTCTCTAGGAGACCTCTGAGCAAAATTAGGCAACAATTTCCCGCCCAAGTAGTTTCCAATGCCTCTGGTAGATGGGGGAAATATCAGGTACCAACGGCCAACCTCGTTGGCTGAACGGGGCTGATAGCACGCACCAGTACCAGTAGGGTATGGTGACAGTAGAAATTAAAGGGGGACGCACAATGGATCAATAACTGGTCTAAGTGCATGGGGAAACCCACCACCTCTAATAATAATAATAATAATAATAGGCTGGTACAGATACTGAGAAACAGGAACCTACAGATATTTAAGAATGAAATATATATACAGTAAACCCTCGCTATAATGTACTAACAGAGGGGACAAAGTGCACCATTATCACCAACGTCCACTATAACCAAGTGAAGGGGTATTCACAGAAGTACACCACAGGATACATAGCCAAGTCATGCAATAAAGAAAGAAACATATAATGTGATTACTTTTTTTTAATTTGGATTCTTTTTTAATTTAAATATTTTTATAACCATAAAACCTTCTTAGTACCTCAGCATCTCTGATAACTCACAACTGTACGAGGGGGTACCCAAAAGAAACCGAACTTTTTTTTTAAACTTACTTATTCAAATTTTAAGCACAAACCTTCAATCCCCTTCAAAGTACTCTCCACTTACACTAATACACTTGTCTGGTCTTTTATTCCATTTTTCAAAACATCTAAATTCATCTTTTGAGATGCTTGACAGCGCCTCCATCGATTTTTCCTTTCATGTCTCTTTCCATTCGAGGAAACAAAAAAAAAAAGTCGCACGGGGCAAAGTCAGGTGAGTATGGAGGGTGAGGAACATAGGTCATACCATTTTTGGTCAAGAACTGTCGTACAGACATGGCTGTGTGAGCAGGGGCATTGTCACGATGGAAAAACCAGTCACCCGACTGCCACAAATCTGGCCACTGAGCTCCAAGTCACTCCTGACAGCTCCACAATTTCTTCAATGGTCCGTCGTCGATCTTCCTTGATGATTTTACGAATTTTTTCAACATTTTCATGTTTTCGGGCCATGGAAAGACGACCAGAACGAGGTTTGTCATCAATTGACATTTCACCATTTTTGAAATGGGAAAACCACTCAAACACTTGAGTTTTCCCCATAGCATCGTCCTTGTACGCCGTTTTTAACATTTGAAGAGTTTCTGTTCCACTTTTCCCGAGCAAAAAGCAGAATTTCACTGCCGCACGCTGTTCACGAAAATCAGCCATTGCAAAAACGACAATCACACAAAACAGTTGTCACTATAAACTCTGCCGAAACTAGTCCTTACCTTCTGAAGCAACGGTAGTCGGCTTATCGCCTCAGGAATGTTAGCTCTATGGGCTCATAGTGGCAAAACGCGGTACTACAAAAGCTCTGCCCACAAAAAAATTAGTTCGGTTTCTTTTGGGTACCCCATCGTACATAGCACAATATAAAACAAAGTTGGCATAGGCACAGAACATCATTTTTATTTAAATTATACAAAAAAAATGAATTATTTTAATTTCACTCGCCAGTTTATTCGAAAACCAAACAACCTGCCAGATTTTGCCCATTATGTCTGGGTTTAATGTATACAAAAAGTAGTAATTTAAGAATTTGTTTTAGCCAACTGAGAACTTTCTTAATTCTTTTTAGGCCGTGCCATAGCTCAAGCGGTTAGTTGCTGGCTTTAGACCGTGGCAGCCCGGGTTCAGTCCCGGGTCTGGTCAAGTGGGATTTGTGGTGGACAAAGTGGCACTGGGGCAGGTTTTCTCCGAGTACTTCAGTTTCCCCTGCCAATCTTCGTTCCACCAACTGCTCCACAATCACCCTCACCTATCATCTGGGGCTGGTACAATAGGCCAGAAGTGGCCGCAGTACAAGGGACTACAAGGGACCCCACTAGCAATAAATAAAAAATAAAAAATAATTCTTTTTAAGCACGTTACTTCATTATTATTCTGTAAGCAGCAAACTTGCATCTTACTTTCAGTGTTCACAGATCTGTTGCCCACGTTCTAATATTTCTTAAATATCATGCATACAAAGGGCAGTCAGAAAGTAAGTTTACAACACACACATCACAACCAAAGGACCTACATTTATTAGGGGTACTGTATCAATATGGCAGCTTAGCAATTCCCATTTTTCCAGCATTGAAGCAACATCTTTGAGGCCACAGCTCCAAAATGAAGGTAAAGCGAAAACAGTGAAATGATGGCTAAGCATAAAGGACACAACCTTATGCCAACAGGGATAAGAATAATTCATCCCATGTTATGATTAGTGCTGCAAATTGCACAGGCTATGTCCTGAAGTAGCTGGCTGACAGTAGAATTACCTTCATTTCTCATGTTAGGGATTGAAATTAAGGACCTCAAACTGCATGCCTTCTAAACTTATTCCCTGATTGACCCTCATAAATTGATAATGAGACAGTGATTTAATGTAGTGTGTACTTTCCTAGCCCATCTAATACACTTTGGTATCCAGTTTGACTTCACACCTAATCTGCTGAGAGCATATTTTTATTGTGTACATTCTGTAACACTGTCAGTAGCTGAGACTACACAGCATCAAATGACAGGATGATAAGTGAATAATAAATTGGAAAGGTCATGCAAGGGAACAGTCATAGCCTAATTTGAGGTGCCGTCCCATTTGTTTGGAGGGACTGAGAAAACCATGATAATCCCAGTCAGGATAGCTGTCTCCAGGCCAGCCTGTATCTCCCAGAAATAACGCGAAATGCTAAACACTCCACTGGCTAGTCAGTAACATTATTTCTTGATGGTCACATAGCACCCCACAACCTGAACAGTATTAGTAGTACTGCTAATCCAGTCACTCTTAGGGACAAGTTCTGTATAATCCTTGGCTAGAGAGAAGACCAGTTTACGGAAGTAGTCCATCTCCTCAACCAGTAATTCCACCTTTTTCTCAAAGGCAGCTGACATATAGGGATTTTCTGTTGCATCTTAAAACACCTCAGTAACACACTTTTGCAGTCCCAGTATCTGTGGTGTACCTTTGTAGCAGCGAAATAATATTTTTTTTCTTTGAGTACCTGATTTTTTCAGAAATAATCCTGGCTCCAGTGTATTTTCATGTAACCCAAAACCTGAAATCCAATAGGCTCAATAAACCAAGAAAATACCAATCCATTCACAATTACTGTTAGGTAGATCAGAGGAGAAATTTGTCATCTTCAATACCTTTTCATCCGAAGTTGGAAGGTGTATTCGAACACACCGCGATAGCTCATCCTCCTGTGTTACTGTGACTAGACTCGTCTGTTCAATGTCTGCCAGCGGAACAGGCTGCAATTATATAACAACCATGAATCAACTCTAGTCTTAGAATAAATAAAAGAACACCATCAAGTGAATCCAGTCTTCAATTAATAAATATGAAGACCAATATGTTTCAGCCTCAAATGGTAATCTTCTGGGGCATCCAATGTTAATAGATAATTTTACATAATTTAAATGGGCCATATAAAATAAGTACCATAACATTTAAAACTAATATTATGCAGGAAACAGTGATACATAGAATTAAAGGATTTTGTAACTTGTCTGATGCAATTCGGAGGGTTGTGTCATATGAAATAGTACAATATATGTCTCGGGGCATCCCTGGGATGGTTTGAGTGTGCAGACATACTCTGACTACATTCATCACCAATAGTGATATCTATAAAATTATAACTCTTAGTGTGTTTGTTACATTAGCTTAATCATTCTGTATGTACCAGGCCACTACAGGCCACTTCAACTCTACACACTTCAATTTTCATGGCTTTATTAATAGAATATGGCAGCCACAAAAACTTCTGATGCATCTGTGATACTAGTAAAATATGACATGCACCCAAAAACTTTGTGTGGTAACAAATATGATACTCTTGTTAAGGTATTCTATTGTATATGTAAACTAGAACATAATGGAAACGTGAAATTTATATTGTAACGTGTCGCGAATCCAGAAGAGTCACTTCTATGGAAATGCTAGAATAGACCGTTGCATAGGAAACAACAATTGCTCTATTGTAGTTCTAACAGGAGTCTCCATGGTTATAACAAAGGGTTCGTTGCATAGCAGTGACCAAGGTTATATAGCGGGGTTGAATGCATTCGACAGTCAGTCTTGGAATAGCCAGCTAAGAAGTCAGTCGTGATCAAGCCATCTTAGAAGAAAGTCCTAGAATAACCGCCAGAAAAGAGAGTCCAGTGTCGGCCGGAATATTGTAAGCAGTAATTTTAACACTGCAAGTGCAAATGTTTGTAAAGTGTGTGTAAGGCGAGCGAACAGAATAAATTCGCTATACCAAACAACGGCATGAAGTTATTTGTCGTGTTATACACCCAAAACGTGACAATATTTACCTTTTGGTCTGATGACAATAAGTAATGAATCACTGGAACTTTGTATGTGAAATTAAACTTCTTCACCCTGAATATGGAGGTAACTATCTTCCTGCAAAATGTTGCGGAGTTCTACCAAACTACCCAGCACTTAAACCCGAAAGATCATACTTCCCATGAAGACAGCTCATAAACAGATGCAAATGTTGTGAAAAATAATGTTTACTTGTCAACATTACAAACATGGTGTTAATACAGAGACCTGAGATTGTATCTAACAAATTTAACACTTCTGGGATTTGTACCTGTGAAAACTGCGCATNCAGATTTCTTAAACTTTTTCTTCAACCCTGAAGATGGGGGCGATACGTTCCTCCGAAACGTCGGTTAACACCACATATACACGGTGCCAAATCCCAGAAGACTGCTTTCTTCATATCAATACTTGTTTATTTACATTTTATTTAACACTGCTGTCACAGTACCTCAGACTATATCATACTGTGACAGTCCAAACCTTTTACAGCTCTTCAAGGGACGCTATGGTCCTCTTTAGCCATTTCAGTAGAGTGACTGATTTATTGGGGAGACCGATTCATTAGCACGTTATGACTTGCTTTTCACATCTGGACAGAAACAACTGCCTTGTTTTGTTACCTGCAGCTTGCGTGACCGGAAAAGGGATGAGGCCACCACAGGGGGCAGGTCTGTAGTTTGCCGAAGATGTAAATTTTGTTTTGCTGATAGTGTAGCTGTTATAAAAGTGTCTTCAGAAGGGTGTAATTGGACCCTAAACTAAGAAATAACCGCTTTCACATGTGGGGTACCGGGTTCTATATCTTTGGATCTCTTTATTATCAAAGTTCGTTATGTGGCTGTCTAGTGCTGACTGCATGATGGATGTGGCCAGTTAAAATCAGCCACTAGGAAACTATTCTTGTCTGGGAGAGAGGCCATCGATTCAAATCCTATACAGGGGATGAAGCGATGCTCCCACAGGATAGAGTTTTCAGAAGTACTTGGGTTTTGAATTCATCGGAGGCAGACGTCATTGGGCTGCACTCTTCCAAGTTTATCTAAATTTATCAGTCTTTATTTGGTTTATTAATCTTTGATAGTAATAAAAGGGCACATTACTCCATACTTGCTAATGAAGTTATAGTATTTTGCTTCTGAATAAACAATTTGTGGAGAGCAGAAATAGTGTCGTTGATTTCTAACAGTGGACTGGCTTTAAATGTGCAGCTTCCCCATTGCCTCAGTTATTACCGTAACACAATCCTGATAAGAGTCAAGTGATTTACCGAAGCCGGCAATTAAATACAAAGACAGAAAGGGGGACGGTTACAATACTCACCACAGAAATGGATTATTAAACAGTACAATTATTAATTTACAATCCCTTGTAGCCTCACCTAATACACTAAAAGTTAATTACAGAAAAGTAAGTGTCATAAGATCTTCCCAGATCATCTCATTAATATACAGACTTAGAATTTATTATCTTAGTGCTACAGTTTAGTTACTCTCAGCAAGAAAAATATTTCTGTGATGATATGAACATTCGGACCTACCACACTATTACGTAGTCCCGTAATCTGGCTGATACCGAACTTAGGGCTGACTAATATAACCCTCTCCATGTTGCTATCCTGTAAAAGACAAAGAGTAACACCAGTTACATAACCATGTGTGTGTTTGTAAGATAATTTTGAATTATACATATACATATGTTCCAATTATCTGTGTTTCCTCCTTCCTCAGCCCTGATGGTCCATGGCAAGACTCTAGAAGTACAACTTAAATTTAACAGCAACATAATAAAAACCCACTATCACATAGTCTCACAGTATGCTTCATATAAATATTTTTATACACACCATCAATCTCCACCAACTCACCCGGTCAGATTGGGTGAATGTATTTCGGAGTCCTGAGCCAGGACATGTGGTAACACATAACGTAGTTGGTTGAGGCACTATGCTACAAGCTGGAAGGTTGAGGGTTCGATTTCCAATGAGGTCATTAGATGTTTCAATTGTCCTAATCCTTCCAGCTGCATTATGGCCACTGGGGTCATCTTAGCCTCTAACAGAAATGAGTACCAGGAATCTTTCTGGGGGTAAAGTGCGGCTGGTGTGTAAGGCTAACAATCTCACCACAATCTGTGAGCTGACTGTCTAGAAAATGTGAAAGTCTCGATATCTCAAAACCATATGGGTGTCCATGGCCATTACAGGGATAGCCTTACTTTTCACCTTACCATTTAATATTTCTTTGTGCACCAGAGAGTTTCAGTATTAACTAAATCATTTAACTGAAGACGTTCAAGAAGTTGGTCAAGAAATTCCCTGTCTTATATCAAACTTGGAAGCTCACAAAAGACTGCCACTGGGGTTTATCCTGAACCAAATAAAATGCCACAGTCTGCAGCCCACAAAACATTTCATAACATTAGATTTTTAAAGTGAGGGTTTTCTAGTCATCCTGTCCAACACCCAAGCTAGAGGACCACCTTCTGCTGACTGTCTGTGACTACCTATTTAGTACTTTTACTATTCTCCATATGGTCTTAGCAATAAACTGAGAAAAATCTTAAACAGACAAATATGACACAAGGACCACAGAAACTGGCCATAAAATAAGTATAAACCTCAATTCAAGAAACATTAAATGAGGATCTCACTGTATTGTCATTTTTAAAATCTGAATGAAACTGGAAGACAAACCCTGATATTAGTGCTGAAGCATTTGGCCCCGTAACTCGGAAGCTCACTGATGATGTTCAGGTAGTACAACTTGGCCTGCAGGCTTGTCAGACTCTTCTGTCCAGCAGGGGACAAACTGTGGTTCAACTTCAAGAAATGACCGATTAGCTTCCGCAATTCCTTCCTCTTCATTGTGCTCATTAGTGAGACTGGCACAAACCGCTCCAAGCCAAATTCTTGCCTATGAAACATGAATATCTTATTAGAAAAAAGAATATTCTGAATTAATCTTAAATGAGAGAATAAATAAACTTTATTCTGTACTCACTCAATGGCTTTCACTGTTACTTTGCTTGTCATATTGTTGGATATGGCATGCTGGTGTATATGCAGGGCTGCTAACCTTAGTGCAATGTCATACTTTAGTTCTGGGGCATACCGTTCCTGTACCACATCATTGCAGCACTGAAAATGGCAAGACATATCATACCATTACTCCATTACAATACCAACATTTACTGCAGAGTTTCTTGGTCTTACGTGGCACACTGTTCCTGTATCATGTTGCTGCAATGCTGAATATGATAAACATCAAGATGCATAGTCATCATTACACTAATGGCTATAAGTTTGTTTTCAATCTCTTCCTTGTGGTTATGCATCCAAATATAACTGCATACATCACAGCCATGGGCAGAGACAGTCATCTGCACCATCCCTCCACCAGTTTATGGAGAAACAAAATTGAAAAAGAAGGAAATATACCAAATACCAAAAATTAAAAACATCCATTTTAAACATGGAGTCATCTATAGATTTCAGGGGAATTCCTAAAATTATACTTAAACAACTTAAAAGAACTCTCTAAGCAACTACTCTGATGACTCCATAGGAAATAATCCTGGCAGTGCCCATGATTACAGCATACTATGTCATGAATCACTATAAAGTTAAGTGTATGTATGTCTGCACTATGGGTATGTTCATATTATTCTTGTAATTCTTTGCGATTTTGATGTAGGTAACACTGTAAACTCCCAGTTATCGGTATCCAGGCAACCAGAATTCTCATCCAACTGGCAAAATTTCAAAGAACATTTACCTACCCAACATCCTCTATCATGCAGGTGCCATTACAGTAAAAGCTAGTTCAATTTGTTATTATGTTACTGTATATGTGCTAGTTTTTCCCACGTAACTAACAGATTTATCTAACTGGCAAAGTCCAATCGCTACACATGCCAGGTAACTGGAAGTTTACTGTATGTTGAACTTAACAAACAAGTAGCATTTTAGGAACATGTAATAAATGCCAAGAATGAAACAACAAAGACAGTACAATTAAAACCATTACAATGTGAAGTATTTTATCCAACATACATAATAAATACAAACAATTCTGAGGCTGTAACATAACTAATACAATGGAGCAGATGATACGGCAGAACAGGGTTGAAATCTCATTACTACTAATTACAGTTTATAAACAGTGTTAAATATGGAGAAATTCATTTAAGTTCAGGACTTGCCCTGCAGAACAATAAGCTGCAGTATAAAAGCGAATAACTTGTTAAATAAGATGTCCTATCAACTTGAGAGGTTATGTACTACTGGAGGGACATACCTTTTCCAGGGCACAATAGCCATGTTTCACAACACTGCAACACTGAATAAGACACTTCTGAGATACATAAAACAATTACTCCTATGTTAATGGTCACAATATCAGAGTAACTGAGTTGCAGGTTAATATAACTTGCTCACTAGAGACAGCCTATGCTGCACCAGTGAACTTCATTTTCTGGGCACTTTGATCCTTTACATCACCACAAAACTAAAAAGGGCACATGTAGATATATATCATGCCTTATTTTGCTAACAACTACAATACATAAGTAAAGTGTCTGCAGGATACAAGAACCTACCAACTCAAGAGGTTACACAGGATCAATACCAGAGGACAACATCTTAATTTCAGGTATAGTATTCTTTATTTATTTATTTATTTTATTTTCCCATAAATCAAAATACATTGATACAGGACTCATCATATCATAACACGCTGCATAAAAATCAAGACAACATTAAAATACCAAGATATTTCAATACAAAGCATCTAAACAAAATGTTTCCTTACCTGCATATAGAGATATTCAAATGCCACCAAATCCCTCTGTGCCAGGTCACATGCATCCTTTGGTACAAATGCAACTCTGAAGAGACAGCGCAGATTGTGTGACCCAGGTCTTGCAGCTATCTATAACGTAAAATTAAACATTCAAAAACTGTAATATTTGTCACTTTATGCAGCCTTTGTAGCAATATATAGTATTAGCATTAACTTCTTGAATGTAACAGACATCAGAAAACATTTACTTATTCTGGATAACATATACAAAATTAATTATCAGTTTTTATATTAAGTTTCTCAATAAGCTTCATAAAGTGTAAGATCAGATCTATGCCATGTTTTCTAAATCGTACAGATCTTTCCTGAAGTTCTCTTTAAACTATGTATCCCCGTCTCTTATTTCTGACCAGTTTTGAAAATGCTGTTTTTGGTTGGACCCAATCATTACTAACAAAATAAAGAAAAAAGTCTAGTGTAACAATTTCTGCTCCTCCTAACAAAGTTCAAAGTTCATTTTTTCTTCATATTTACAGTGCAAGTCCCTTAACAGACGCATTTCAGGAGTCATACTCATCATCATCCCATTCACAATACACTCAGGTGATACCAGGGCAGTCCTAATTGATGTGTTAGGAGAATTACCACTTTTATTAACACAAAAGTAGGGCCGCGCCATAGCTCAAGCGGTTAGTCGCTGGCTTCCCACCACGGTGGCCCGGGTTCAATCCCGGGGTCTGGTCAAGTGGGATTTGTGGTGGACAAAGTGGCGCTGGGGCAGGTTTTCTCCGAGTACTTCGGTTTCTCCTGCCAATCTTCATTCCACCAATTCCTCCACAATCACCCTCACCTATCATCTGGGGCTGGTACAGTAGGCCAGAAGTGGCCGCAGTACAAGGGACTTAGTCCCACCCCACTAGCATTAAAAAAAGTATTACTTTTTTCTGCAAGACTAATTCATGACAGATTAAAATGTGTCCTGTTAATTGCTTCATTAATGTGGTCTGACAGGTAACAGATGCTGCTCATATATATAGTGTTTTCAACCCATGGAAAGATGATACATTTAAACGCTGCCATAAATGCTAAATACTGAATGTAGACCACTGAAATGACCCAGTGGGTTTGAACAAATTTCGAAAAACACACCAGTAACAGAGTCCAAGACTCTGTTTGGCTGCAGTACCAAGAATTACCTTTAATTGTGAAGCAGTAACTTTATTATTTGCCAGTTCACTGTTGTCAAAATAAAGACTGAAGTTTGACATCACAACAAAAATGCATACCTGCCTGTGAAGGACAGTTCTGACTGACTGATATTGTCCAACACATGAAACAGTTAAGATTCTTTCAATAAAAGATATGATCACATACCAATGCAAGCCTATATAATTAAACACCAAACATTGCAGATGAGTGCATCACATTTAGGAAATCCCAAGATGAAATCTCCATCTGAAGGCCAGTTATCCAGATAGGAATTTACCTCTTAGTGCCTCCATTAAAATTTTGGTACATTATTTCAAACAACTTCCTCCTTCCACATCATTTCAAATTCATCATTCACAGATCATCCTATTATTTGATACTATATTACCTAAGGAGTTGAAAAAAATGTTAAATGAATTAATAGTCTATCTACATTTAATTCTTTCTACTACTGAGAAGTCTTTTTAAATTTTCACTCTGACTATGCACCATTCCACAAAGGTATGGAGGGTTGGAGGCCAAGATGCATGCGTTCTTAAACTCACAAGTAGAAAAACAGACGTCAGCTTAACACTCAAATCATCTGAATAAATTAAAATCTGGAAAGAGCAAACAAATTTTTATTTTCAGATCATGCCCTTGTAGATTGTGACATCATTCAGTCTTATACATGAACACCAGTTCAGTGATGAAGACCGAGGATACGTGTTCCTCCAAAACACTGGTATCCACATAGAAGATTATGTGGTATCACAACCTATAAGATAACATCTGAACACTAGCAGTGTGAAGACCTCAAATGTTATAAATTTGTATTTATGCAAGACTTGAAGCTTTCATGACAAGTGTACTATGATCTTTTCAGGTGATGAACTGGTTCAATATTGGTTTAAAAACCAATGTTCCAGAAATCTCCACCATCAGCATTGACCAATCATCAGGATGGACCCTGATGATGGTGAGTGAGTAGACATCTAGAAAGTTGGCTTTTAACTCATCACTGACACAGCAGATCACCCAAGAAGATTTTAGTACATTTTTATTAGCTTACTTTTGTTATTTTAAAAAAATACAAATACACTTACAAGATCATTTTCTTGCCTGCATATCTGTGTATCCCCTTCTATCAACTTTTGAATACCTGAACCGATCTTTATGAAACTTGGTATATATATCATGGCACCTGAACCCATCTCAGTGGTGTACTTCATAAATCTTTCCCATTAGTCTGTGCATCTGTATTTATAACCCCCCCCATCACTGCTAGTCAAAGGCTCAGTAAACATGTTACTGTGGTAATGAATGCACACAACAATAGAAGAACTGCTGGATGCATCATTTTTCTATGAGGCTTGTACTGTATGAAAGGAAAGCAGATGATCAGTTCTTCCCATAACTTCTTGTTTACTTCACCATTTCTACATCTGAATATAACTTACTTACCCTTGCAAGAGGTTCCTGAGGATCCAGTAGAGTGAGTTTGTTCCTTCTCAAACTCTTGACGTGCTCCACAACAAGCGAGAAGTGTTCCATGGCATTGATACAAAGTTTCTGCTGCAGGGACTCCACCACATCGCGGACTGTTGTGCTTGAGTCATACTTGAATGACTTGGTCTGTCCATTCTCGAGAAAAACTTTCAACACATTTGGCATAAATGGCATCGAAGAATCTCCCAGTGAAAATGTTGAGGGCTAGACGTAACAAACAAGGTACAAATTATGAAAGCTATATTGAGGCCACATGAAGAAATCCCAAGGGTGACAGGGATGATTCCCCTCTTCTGCCTACCACTGTGCAGTAGACTCCTAATTATCCAGGGAGGATGGAAAATTAACTTCCCCAGATAATTGGAAACTCTGGATAGTCAGTGTAATAATATGTAACTAATTTGTGAACTGGGAATTATAAAACAACACACACATTTATAAACATATTTTACTTAAACACTGTTGGCAGAAACACGATCATGGATTCTGAGAAACTCCTGTGCCAAGCAAAGAAAGCCTTCTTCAACTTCCAAATACATATTAAAATGACAAATAAAACTCCCTTCATTTTGTACTTGTTCCTATATTTGCCACCAGTTAATTAGGAGTGTGCTGTATTCCCCTTCAGTATTCATTAGCCTGTGTCAACAGCCCAACATACAGTCACGTGTGTGTGTTACCTCACGGTAACGGACTCTTGTCGTCCATTGTTTAGGTACCTAAATATTCTTCCATTTTACTCACAATGTTTGTTGTTAAAAATATGGATACTTTCACACTAAATTCTGATATACATAGTATCCATATCAGACAAAGTTCGGATTTACATCATTCAACTTATAAATTAACTAAAGTTTAAAAAGGTGTCTACTGTTCCGGGATAATGATATTTAATAATTTACCACAGAATCTTAAGAACATGACAAATGATGTTGATAAGTTTAAATATGCTTTAAACAAATTCTCCATGCTGGCTCCTTTTACTCATTGCGGGAATATCCAGATTGGAGAATAATGGAAAACCTTGCTTCTTACAAATAATTTGTGGGAACATCCCACATATCATGCTACTTCTACAGCGCTCACTATTCAACTCACTTTTCACCATCACGTGCACTAACCAATCAAATTGCCTCAAACGTTTGCATTTATACAGCGCTTGCTGCTAGCCCGCATCCACATCATTATGCGTACTAGCCAATCAGCGCTCAGCAAATTTTCACTCCTCCATCACGCTTTGTATAAAAAGGAGCAGCTCCAACCCAGCAGCATCAGTCTACAATCAGTCTTCAAGCAGTCTACAAACAGCACACTTCGTCGCCAGCGCTCGGTCTTCGGAGGCATCGGCACTTCGCTGCGCCAGGCACGACTGCCTCGGCTGTCCGGCGGTCACACCCGACTCACTGGGCAACTCGGCTGCCTGGACTTGCCGGCGGTCATGCCCAACTCACTGGACAACTGGCATAGCTACCGCCTCTCCACTCCTGCAACCGCACTCGGCAAGCAAACGTTTCCCAGCAACCAGGCAACTCCCGACAACTGCCGCACTGTGGCCAGTCAACTCACTCAGCTGCCGCGACAGCATTAGTCCACGCACCGCAACAAACATCCTTTTTTTACTGGCGTACATAGCGCTACTTCACCGGCTGAACATCATTAACGACAAAATACCCACAAATTTATAATCTCATTGGTGACCTGATACAGTTTTTTGCATGGTTGATGTAATCTTTTGTCTTGATTTTTATGCAGCTTTTCGTTTTGATAAGCATGATTTATATGTATTGTTTACCTGTAGAATTGCCCGTATATGTATATGTTTTGTGATACGACAAGTCCCGTATCGATGTATTTTGATTTATGGGAAAATGAAATAAAGAAAGAAGGAACGAAAGATATTTGGTCATCATCATCATCATCAGTAATCTGTCAAGCCGACAGGTCTCAGTCTCTTCCAAAACAATTCCTCCACTTAATGCGATCTAGAGCTTTCTCCTTCAAATGACAGTATCCTCTTCTGTCCCCAAGGTCATCCAGCATCTTCTTACGTCTTCTTCCTCGTCTTCTTGTCACTTCTATCCGCCCCTCTATCTTTCCTTCGATAACTTCTTTTAGAAGGCAGTTTCTGCGTAAAACATGACCAATCCAATTAGCCTTCCGTTTTCTTATTTCATGTAGGATATTCCTCTGCTCACTGACTCTAATTAACACTTCTTCATTTCTCACATAATCGGTCCAACTGATCTTCTCCATCTTTCTCCAACACCACATTTCAAAACTTTCCAGACGTTTCTGATCTACTGCCCTAAGTGTCCATGTTTCAGCCCCATACAGAGCTATGCTCCAAACGTAGCATTTCACTAGTTTCTTCCTCAAATTTAAGTCCAATTTGCTGGTAAAAAGATTCTTCTTCTTGCTAAATGCAGCTTTTGCCATGGCAATCCTGGATTTAATTTCACTAGTACACCTTCCATCATCTGTTAACAAGCTACCCAAATATTTAAAAAATTGGTCATAAGTGTGTAAATTTATAATGCATTTAATTCAGTTAATTTAGGTAATTTACATGAAACTGTACTAATTTTAAGTTTTTATAGTAATGTTCTTTTTAAATTATGTTTAATAATTATGTTTATAATAAGTTGTTTTTTTTATTTTATTATCTATGTTAATTGACTAATGTATGTGATTTTAATTGTATTATATGTATCTGTACACATCTATTCTCAAAGGGACAATTTCCACATCCTATGTTTGTTACCTGTATGGATATATGGAAAATAAAGGAAATGAATGCATGGTCATCACTATCAATATTCCTGTGAAGAGAATTGTTAGATGACCGGAAGGGTATAGGGGTATGTATGCTGGAGAATGAAGTGTAATAGTCAGAGGAATATGAGGAGGCCAATTTATGGGACTTCATTCTGTGCCCTCAGTATAATACTGAAGTAACCAAGTTTCCTTTACTTTCAGAAGAGTCACACTTTAGGAAATACTCTGAAAGCTCAACTTTGAGGGACAAACCAGATCAAGCAGGTGTGCAGATACAGTGAAGGGGAACATAAAAAGGATTATAGTTGTAAACAGAGGTCTGCACATTCTGAGTTCTTGAGGAAGAAATTGATGGAGAGGTAAACTTGGGAACCATAAAGTTAATGGAAAGTCTGTCGAGTGTAACAATTTGTAGGTCACTTTTTATTATTATTTCTGCCTTACATGTTTCGGTTTGACACAACCATCATCAGAGGCACTTGCTACAATTATGGAAACACTGTCGCTGTTTTGATGTTCACAATTATGTTTGTCGTGTGGACGTTGCTACGATATGTTGACGTGTAAAAGCACAAACATGCTAAGATAGTTGAGTACACTATCAAGTTCTCACTTTTCATCCGAACCTATTTTAATTTAAAACACTAAAATATTAAAATATTTGATATAAATGCTGAACTTCTCCTTGTTAATTCATCCCGAAGATGGGAGACGTCAGCTTGAGGTTGTATGGCTGCAAAGATATTATATTACTTAGGATTATGTATATATTATTATATATATATTGTTTAATGTTGTATTTGATTCTTGCTTACCTTATGATTTGATGTGTTCCTGTGTGCTGTGTGCTGTGTGCTGTGTACTGCAGTAGGGATACTACATCTAATGCTTTTTTGTAGCCTTGTGTGTTATGACGCGGTCAGGGGTGTGTTTATACAAGTAGTGATGAGGT